TTCTTGTTTACACAGAATCACTCCAGTCCCGAGGATTTCAATGACCGCTTCTGCATTAGGTTCCCCACGCAAAGATTCAACCTCCCTCATGCGGGCTCGACAATAGCCCGTCAAGAAGTCTGGAAATGACACGGAGATCTTCCAATGTCCGGATGAATTCAGCCAAAAGGTCTTCAAGCTCCAGTATCGAAAAACGTTCCTCATCTTGAATTTCCTCGATCTGTTTTGGATCTATTCCTCCGTAGCAATCATGCATGCAGGTATGAGAGATATTCAACCTTCGACAAGTAACAAAAGGAAGGATCCAAGGAGCTATGAAATCAATAAGGCGCTCCTGGCTAGGCAGCTCATGCGACCTTGTAAGGGCCTCTATGACAATCGCAAGCCTATCTATGAGCTCGTCCAAGTCTTTATCAGATCGTGTTGGAAACATTCCGCGTAACAATGCCGTTAGCCCTGAGCAACCAGTTAAAGAACATGGACAGTTGCAGTCATCTTGAGCTTCATCCATAAATATTGTGAGCATTGATTGGGCAGACCCCTGACTTAGCTCATTTATTTGCCAAGAACAACTCGCGAAATCATTAATCGAATGCAGAAGCTTTCCCACGTCATGTCAGAGGTAGTGCAAAGCTGGGCAAGAATCTTTCCTGCGAATAATGCTTGCACCTTTGTCAATGAGCCAGTTCGCTTTCTCCAAGAACACATCTAGGCTGCAAGGCGGTGAATTCCACCACAGTCCCATTATACGCGACCAATTGCCATCTATCTTATCCACGTCCTGGAAAGCAGAATCCCAAAGCATGCCTGCTGCCTTAAGATTGATCCCTATGTGGTCATAGACGGACCATCTCGTTGTCTCAAAAATGTCGTCGACATCAATAGAGCTTGCCTTCAAAAATTGATAGGCTTTATAAGCTTGACGATTCATAAGAGTCCTAGGGCTAATACCTAGCTCCAAGACCACTTCTTCTGGCAAATGGGTCTCCACGAGAGTTTGTAGCTGCCTCCAGCAGTCAGCGAGCGCGGTTACTATCAGGTCCATAACCACCGCATTACGGCGATTACAGGCAGTTTGTAGATCCGTTGGTCCGATATGGAGTTTTTGAGAATTGATCAAAATCTTGATGCTCTCCACCCAATTTGCTTCGCGTGCTGATGTGAGAGAGCCTAAGTTTGGTGTGTGGCCAGACTCGAGGATCAAGGCCAGCCCAGTAGGCCATTGTATATAGGAATTAACTGTATTCAGTGAGAATTTCTATTCTCTACTTCCGAGTTGTAGCGAGGGACTTACCTTGAGTCTCTTTCTCGTCGGAAATTTGCCAAATCAGCAGAATACTGTTGTCTTCGAAGATATGGTCGTTCATGCGGCCGTCCTTTCCGTCCAAATCATACAAGGGATTATACCAAGTTGGGTGATGCCTCCAATCTAGGGCCATATATGTCATGAAGCCCCCAGCATTCAACAAATCAGAGCAGATATCAACAGTCCCCTGCCGCTGACGGAATTCTGTATAGCTATCATGGAGGTCAAAACATCTTATCACCCTATCCGCAGGAGTTTCACCTCGGGTCGTTCAGGCGAGTTGAGAGTGGGCCAATTTGTGAGATCGCCTTGATAAAGATTCGCCAACGAAGCCATGAATAGGCATCCCACTGTGAGCTGTATGATTGCCAGCCAGTTATCTCCTAGTATATCCGTGAGTCAGAAAGCCACACTCTGTTTTAAGCTCTCAACACGAAGTGTCCTCACATGTAAAATTGTGTTTCCGTCGGGCAGAGTATCAGACCATGAGCCTTTCCTCTCTCCAAGGAGTTCAAAGAGTCTTTTTTGGGTGTTTTCCAGGGTCATACCGACAGTCTCAGACCTCAAGCCGTCCTCTATACTGGAAAGAAGCCTGAAAGCAGGTGAATTTGTCGGCAAGTCACACGAAATTCGAGATGAGGGGAGATAGCAAGGCCACCAGCGCCTCTAGTGATGTCCAATGAAACTCGGATGGTATAGCCTAGAAAGCGATTATAGAATGTCCAGCGCTTGAACAATAGGGTAGTACGCTCATATTGCTCATGGATTGGGCAGGCTTGATCCAGAATTTTTGGATGCTGAGCAAATTGTCGGTTCAAGAATGAAGACTGACTCTTGCGAGAGCACGTGCATCGGATTAGGCCCCTAGCGAGATGAGATTGGCTTTTTGCTATCAAGAATCCTGTTGATTCCCCAGTTATTTGTTGGTCATCTAGAAGGGATCGCAGCAAAGCTGGAACGGCAATCAGGCGCGCGCCCTGGCAAGCAATATTGGACTCCTTTAGGCTAGCAGTGAGTAGCTATATCATCAAAGTAATGGTACTTTGATGAAGAACGCTTGCATACCATTCGATCGAGATGCAGTTCAGGCATTCATAATCTGTTGTCAACACTGAGACTGTTCTGATCTAGTCGATTCGCTATGCGTAAGATATGGCTTGTATTTGACGCTGTGGATGCCGACCCCGTCACTACAAGATCCATTTTCTTAAGATTGAGCGTCATCGTAGAACTTCATTTCTGTTAGTCAGTGGGAAGCATGTAAGGGGCGAGTGGCGCCCACCTACATGTTTAGGACTTGAAGTGAAGTGTTGAGGTTTGCCTGTAGGCAGCTCATTGTTTCCGTGAGTGCCATAAGTGTCTCCCGTCTGAAGGGATATAAGATCCGACTGATTTGCTTGTTCTGACCAGCTACTCGCTGATTTCGTCGCATCGCATTTTTCAAGCATCCTTTTCAGTTTGTTGAGACCTTCATGGCATTTGAGAATAGAATCAACTGCCACTGCCGCCGACGGAGCTGTTTCGGCTGTGGATAGTACACGCGCATTGATCAGCACATCCTGTAGCGCTTCAAAATGCTCTCTAAGGTGGCAATTCGATCTGTAACCTCGTCTATTTGTTCACGGAACGCTTTGAATTGCCCGTAGTAAGCAAGCAGTCCCTGGAAAACGGTGAGGCCAAGTGATATGACGCCTACTGCACTCCCAGCCACAAAAAGTGGATCAGCCATGTCTGCTTTCATGACTATTATTGACTTCGAGAATGCGATAGAAATGAAAACCATGAGACTGAGATTGACACTCAGATCAGTCCGACCATTAATATCAGCCGAGAGTGATGAGCAATTTCCGAGTAAAGCCAAGCCGCCTATCTTTGGTTTCTGGGTAGCACAAGTACCCTATGGTTGGAAAGTCAGCGAATAGGGGCCGTCTCGAGCTCTCAACGCTGAGAGCTGATCATCGGATTTACTGATATCTGCTGGAGTAAATGCTGTCCCGGATAGTTCTCGCCACCAGTGAGCATTTGTTCAATGTCGATATTGTCCTGTAAATTTATCAGTGATTCTAGGCCCTCTTTTTGCGAAAAGATCTGAAATGTTTGAGTGCAAAAGATGGCATCCCGTAGGATATGCTTTTCTAAACGAGGTTCAGTGCCCAGCACGGGCATGTAATAGGTGCGGAGAATCAAAGGTAAATAATAGCACTCGTTCCTGAAGGACAACCAAGACATATTGTTGATAGTGACAAGGCAGAAGTACGTGGGCGGCACTCCAGTGGTAACGAAAGCAGAGTTCCCGAGATCCAAGTGATCCACACCAACATCTTGACCACCGCCTCATGCCTACTCTCAAACACTTCGTTGCAGGAGATTCACCACTGCCTCATGGTCATTCGCTGCAGCCCTAGACAGTGGCTTGCGACCATCATTGTCTGTCAAATCTACTTCAGCGCCATTCGCCAGTAGGAGCTTAACCACTTCCGCATGTCCCCTTTCTGCAGCGCGCCACAGCGGTGACCGACCATATTGAACGTCGATAGAGTCTACATAGGCACCGTTATTGAGCAGTAGCTTAACCGCACCTATATGCCCTACCTCCGCAGCCGTACACAGAGGCGTCCGACCATGTTCATCTGTGAGATCCGAGTTCGCACGATGGTCGAGGAGGAGCTTGACCATTGCTTCTTGACCTCTCTCTATAGCCCACACCAGCATAGTCCGCTGATTGTTGTCTCTAGAATTTGGATCGGCATGATTCTCAAGTAGCGCTGCGGCCGTTGCTACGTTGCCAAAATATACGGCCCAGAACAGCGGCGTTCGGCCACACACGTCCTTGGAGTTGACGTCCGCGCCCACGGAGAGAAGTAGCTTGACTATTGTCTCGTGCCCCTTCAACGCTGCTAACATTAGTGGCGTACGGTGCAGGTGATCCTTGGAGTTTACTTTGGTATCACGTTTGAGCAGTAGCTTCACCACGGCCCCACGCCCATTCAGCGCGGCTGCGCACAGGGGCGTTCGGCTATACATACTGTCCGCGGAGTCCAGGAAGGCTCCATATTCCAGCAACATCTCGACGACCGTTTCGTGACCCTGTGTTGCAGCACGAAACAGCGGTGTTTGACCACTCCCATCTGCCATATTTACCTCTGCGTTTCTAGCAAGTAGCTGCTTGACCACTGCGTCGCGTCCTCTTTCTGCAGCCCGAAGCAGCGGCGTCTGACCATGGTAGTCTGCCAAATCTTCCTCTGCGTTGCTGGCAAGTAGCAGGTCGACCACTGCATCATGTCCTCTTTCTGCAGCCCGAAGCAGCGGCGTCTGACCATGGGAGTCTGCCAAATCTACCTCTGCGTTGCTGGCAAGTAGCAGGTCGACCACTGCATCATGTCCTCTTTCTGCAGCCCGAAGCAGCGGCGTCTGACCATCACCGTCTGCCCAGTTTACCTTTGCGTTGCTCGCAAGTAGCAGCCTGACCATTGCGTCATTTCCTTCTCCTGCAGCCCAGCACAACGGTGCCCGGCTGTATTCAGTGTCTGTGGAATCCACACTAATACCATTCTCGAGCAGGTGCCTCACCACCATCCCATCACCATTCTTTGCGGCCCATAATAGCAGAGTTCGGCCATGCTCAGGATTCGTGGTGAGAATGTCAGCACCATACTCGAGAAACATCTTGGCAATTGTCATGCGTCCACCCATCACGGCCATTGACAGCGGCGTGTTACCATCAATGTCTTCCAAATTCACTTCGGCGCCGTGCTGAAGAAGTAACTTAGCAACTCTCTCATGTTCTCTTTCGGCAGCGCGCCAGAGCGGCGTCCAGCCAATTGTATCTTTAAAGTTAACTTCCGCATTATGCTCGAGCAACAGCTCGAGTTCTTCTTCTCGTCCATTTGCTGCGGCATGAGACAACGGTGTCCGGCCAAGTCAGTCCCCAGCATTAGCGTCTGCTCCGTTTTCGAGAAGCAGCTTGACCACCGTTTGATGCCCTTTCAGCGCTGCTGACACCAGCGGTGTCCGGCCAAGTCCGTCCGCAGCATTATCGTCTGCACCGTTCTCAAGAAGCAGCTTGACCACCGTTTGATGCCCTTCCAACACTGCTGACACAAGCGGTGTCCGGCCAACTCCGTCCTCAGCATTAGCGTCTGCACTGTTTTCGAGAAGCAGCTTGACCACCGTTTGATGCCCTTTGAACGCCGCCGACACCAGCGGCACCCGGGCCCCTCCAATTTTGGAATTGGGGTTGGCGCCATGACTGAGAATTAGTTGAACCAAATTTGGATGTCCATTACTAGCGGATTTTGATAAGGGTGTATCACCGGCAGTATCACTCAAGTCCACGTTTGCTCCTGCTTCAAGCAGTAATTTCACGACTGCGTCATGTCCGTTCGCAGTAGCTTGTAACAAGGCTGAACGTTTATACCCAAAGTCCATGATGGAGTTGACGTCTATCCCATTTTGGAGTTGCTGCCTGAGCAGCTTCTCGTGGCCTTCATCTGCAGCCCAATGAAACATTTCTAGACGACTGCTGTGATTAGAGTCTGCCTCTGTGTCCTTCTCTAGTAGCAGCGTGGCCGCCGCTTCGCTTCCGTTAATCCTTGCCCATCTCAGAGGTGTGTCGCCATATCGATCAGCAGAAACGACGCTAGCATTATGGTCGACCAACGTCTTTATGATAGATTGATGATTGTACAACGTTGCCAACAATAACGGTGTCCGGCCACTTGAATTTTCAGAGCGGGTGTCGGCCCCATATTCGAGCAACAGCTTAACGACTGCGTCATGGCCATTTTCCGCAGCATACGACAATGGCGTCCGGCTATCAGTGTCTTTCACGTCAGTTTCAATTGTTGTGTGAAGGACCTTAAATGCTTCCTTAATCCCGAAGTACGCTGATAAGTGAAGCCCTGTTATCTGCCTCGGAAAATATTGGCTTTCACCTAATGAGCACCATCCTTGCCTTGAGGCTTCCACATGAGCTTTTTTCTGGAGAAATTGAATAACACCCTGAGGGCAACCCGAAGCACCGTAGGCATGATATCCCCAGTTGCGGGCGGCGTAGTTGTACAGCGGATTTAACTCAAGTCGCTCCTCAAACTCGGCTTCTGTTTGACAAACCCCGCTCCCAAAGGTACGGAACGATAGGTAGGTAGTGCAGATTTTGGTAATATCACTGTGTGCATTAGGGGACCACGTATCCCGCGTTCGCTCAAAATACTGTTGGGTCGTGTAGTGGACTAAGCGTATAGTGCCACTGTTCCTGTCCACTGTGACCAGTCCCGCGCATAATGAGACCATGTATTCAATCTGTGGCAGGTGGTCTTCATCGAGCTCATCCTCTCCAACTTCCACTGCAAGGGCATGTTGAAGCTCTGTTGTGGACAGAGTCCTCTTGGCGTAGGTGATCCATGAAAGGACCTCTTTGGCGAGGATTTTTGGTTTTTCTATCTGTCCTTCAATTCGCTTCATCGCATCGGCGTATGCCTTGTCATATGCCTCGGATCCTGTCGGTAGTCTCTTCAGAGCAGTACGGGTCGTCTTTGCCGATCTTTCCCCAACTAATAGATCGAGGTGAAGTTGTGCAAGCAGAAACCTAGACCCAGTTAAGTTTCACTTCTTGACATAATTGGAAAGTACTCACACACATGCCATCGACTGATTCAACGATGCCAGTCTTGATTTCCTCCTGTAATTCTAAATTGCCAGTGACAAAACTCGGAAGTCGGAACATTTCACCGTCAAGATATCTCCGCACATCTTCGTCTCTTGCATGAATTTGCAATGTTGGATTTCCTTTGAATTGCTCTGCTATTTCTGGGATAGGTCGTGAAGTCGCAAAGACATTTGCTTTACGCATCTGGAGGGAGAATATCTCTGACAGGAACTTCGATCGACAGCCGTCGAATACCTGGCATTCATCAAGTGCGTCGGCAACGATGAAGGTTCGTGAATATATAGTCGACACGGATTGGAGCGTTTTTGAGAGTTCATCAAGTGATGGCTGCGTTCGTTTGGACTTGTGGAGATTATAGAGGTCTTTCACGCACGCTGGTAGAGAAAGCAGATTGCTAGCTAGCTGTCTCAGCAAACTGGCTACTAATCTGTCGGCTGTCTGCTCTGCTTGCTGCCGGAAATTGCAGTAGACATACGCAATGCCTATATTGTTGTTTTTGTAAAATCGTTTATTGAGATCATTAACCACAATAGAGGCGAGGATTGTCTTCCCAGCACCGGGAATGCCTGGACAAAACAACACCTGCTTCTCTGTGTTTAACCAAGTCTGGAACTCGGCAGAATCAAGAAGCCATTGGCCAGTTCCTGCCCGGCGCCTGGAGAGATAGTCGCTCTGTTGAGGACCGTAGGTGATTGGGGTAAGCCAGTCGAGGATCTCAAGGTCTTCCTTTTTTCCTAATATGGATCTTATGGATTGAACATCTCCAGCGGTCCCAGACACAGAGTCAAGAACTAATACATCATTAGAGGCTGGCTACCGAGCTCAACAAAATTCGGGGCTGGCTAACTTCGGCCTAGTATGTCCTTCACTGGGCGCTCGCAGTCGACGTCGTTCGGCTGTACATACTCGAGAAGCTCCTTTGCAAACGCAGCCGCCACCGCAGCAGCATGCTCCTGCCAATCATCGTTCTTGTGTGAATCCGCATAGTCGCAGATTCCTCGAACGATGATGCATGGGAAGTTATTCACCAGTCCCGCCGCTTCCATCTCGACACAAAGAACGTGACCGCCAAGATCATTATTGAGTCTATCGCGGAGGGCAGCGTCCTTGATGACTTGGTTTCCAGATGCGATAAGGCCAAAATGCACACGCATTTCTCTGGGCTTTCTCTTCACGATTTTTGTCTTGTCACAGAATCGGCAACCTTCTTCTTCTTCTTCTTCTTCTTCTTCCTCCTCCTCGTCTATTTCGTCGTCGTCTGAGGGGACGTCGTATTCGGTGGTGCTCTTGTCGACATGGCTGTAATTTGCTTTGAACAAAATATCCTTGAATGAATCAGATCTCAGATACTTCGGCACCAGTCTTGGCCATTTCTCTTTCAGTTCGTCCAGATACTCCGGTATATTTGACCCTTTCATCTCATGCTCCGTCTCCAATTTCGATAAGGCTGATAGCAATAAGGTTGGAGGGTTGTTCAGAGAGCCGGTCCGTTCGAAGGTACCGCCATTTTTTGCCTTGCCGAAGTCCCATTGCACCACACCAGGGAACTGGCCGACTGGTGTACTGACCACCACATCGCCAAGTCTAACCTTGGTCGGAATACCGCCACCAATGCCAACCATCAGGCCGAACTTGATGGACGGGAAAGCGGATACCATCCGCGCAGCGACAGCCGCTGCCTGGCTTGGGCCGATCTGTCTCTTCGGTAGGCAAGTTATGACAACATTGTGCTTGCCAATGGACCCAAGAGTGTATGTATTAGGGTCATTCGGCGGCTTTGAGAGATCGGCATGTCTCTTATCCAGCATAGCCGTAGCCGCGGTCTGTTCTTTCGGCAAAGCACAGACCCATCCCACAGTGTATTCGCTATGAGTTTTGGGCTCTGTAGATGTCTGTGCAGCCATTGCCGAAAGATTTGGTTGGGTCTTCAAGAGGACAAAAGCGGAATTGGGTGCCAATCTGATACAGTCGGTGTTGGCCGTGAAGAAAACAAATCCACCCAAAAGGAAATCAAAACGCTCAGCGTCTTTCAAAGAAAGGGGATCTGGATTTCACTGGAGAAAATAGCGCAGGTGAGGGCGTAAAAGAAGGGACAATCAATTCAGCCTCATGGGTTGGATCCGAAGGTGTATTGGGCGTCGATCGGGCAGCACAGCCGCAACCCAACATCCAATTGCGTATGCATAGTAAAGACAGGAAGTACGGAGTACCGCAGTGCATACTAATGAACGGCCGCTATATTGTCAATATGACAATACAGTGCCGAATCAAAATAACAAATGGAAGCTGCTAAGTCCCAGCCAATGATTGTCGTTAGCCATCGCTACAGATATCGTCGTGTGGTAATTCCAATCATCTCCGAAACGATCCAGCCCAGGACATGGCCCATACAGCTACAGGACATGACATCAAACGATAATATTAGATGGTAGAGGAACATCAATATTCCGCTGCCATTCTTAATATAATTTATTAGATACTGGCATGAGCGTTCGAGAAACGATCGAAGAGTGTAGGGTAGGTGGTGTGACCGGATTCCGGAAGCATTGTATCTCGTGTGTTCGGCTACAGGAGAATTGTGTCTATTCGCATCTGAGCGAGCCATTCGTTTCTGCACCTCTCCTTTGGTCAGAATCTTCACTGTGTCCTTGAGAGGAGATAGCCAAGACCAGACCAGATGGATGTGGTGGCCACGGTGAATCCATTTCCCGTAATCGGCTCCGAATCGGGATCAGTTCAGGCCACCAAGAAAAGCAAAAATGGGCCTGGGAACGCAACAGGAAAGTGGATGGGGGGGAGGGAGAGTTTAGCCGAGGGGCCACGCCGGCGCTCAGGGGTGTTCAGGCCGTACGGGTGAAGAATAGAGGGCCTTCAGGGCGTTCAGGCGAACGGGGCCTGAAGGGGCTGGAGAGTAAAGCGGCAAGGACACTAACCGATGAATCACCAAAGGGTGAGCAAAAAACATACAACAGTGAGGATTCGCTGGTGGTCACCCACCCAACTACTAACTCACCGGCGTGTGGCTTAAGTACGGCTGAGCGGACGGGAAGCCCTGTTTTCCACACCCTATGGTCGTATGTACT